TGCAGTGATGCATCCCTGAGCCAGCTGGCACCTGTGGGGGGACCATGAAGGTGGCGTCAACAGGGATGGGATGGGAAGTCTGGCACAAAGGTTTTATTTCACAAACAGAAGTTGTGTAAATGATTGAGTCAGAGATCTAATTCATCTGTATGGTACTAGCTCAGGTGTTTCAGCTGATAAATGAAGATGTCAACTTATTAGCCTAGTTTTGGCAGAATTATTAAAAGCGTGTTTGCATTTAGGCTCATTAAGGGAGATATCTAAAACCAGAAGCATCCAAAATTAATGGATGCCTTTTGAAACTGTTGGCTCCAATGAGTGGTGATGCATTCTTTTACAAGTGGATGGGTTCTTGTGGTTTAGGCAGAGAGTTCCTTAAAAGATAAAAATACAGTCTTGAGCTTCAAAGGAAAAGGAATTGAGTGCTTGGAAGCCCTTCTGTGCTCAGCCCAGATACGGTGTGCTTAGCACGAGTGTTTGTGCCCAGTCTCATTTTCTGTGTTGTGTGTAAACTTGAAATTCTTGCACTACTTGAATTTTTCTTTTTCCCACATTCTCTTCTCCGTGCTACAAATTGGCAGGATTTCTGCACGTGTCCCAGTTGCATTGGTTTGGCAAAGGTCTTCATGTTAGCTGAATGAACTAACTAGGATCACACTATCAGCACCTTTTCTCACTTGTGGTGAGACATAGAATGCAGGCATGATGCATCCTTAGGTCCTTAACTGTTACATTAACTTGCATCTGGAGTATTCTCCTACATTTGCACACATTTAATGTAGAAATCCTTGCAAACCATTGAAAGTACAACATCCAGTTGGGTTTTAGCTCTAGGTGCTGAATGTTGTATGTACAATATAAAGAGAGAGAAATGTAATTTTAGATAAAATAGAATGTATCTTAAACTGTTGTTGAAATGGGACCTGGCAATATGAGCACAACTGAGTCCTGATTGTTTCCCCCACACTGGATCAGCAGCATGGTGAGGCCAGGAGACAAAGCCCTGCAGAGAGCACTGTGTGTCCTGCAGGCTCAGCACACACAGCTCTCTTCCCCACTCCTGGAGAGCAGTGTCCTCACTGCTGGAGCTGCTGCTTGGTGCGAGCTGCCCAGCAGCCACATCAGGAAGCCTCGTGCTTCACTGTTTCATCCAAAAGGTTTTCATAGTGCCTTGAGCTTCGGCCCTGGGCTGGAGGCAGGAGGCAGGCAAGAGGTGGCTTTTTAACAGCAACGTATTTTTCTTCCAGTGATTTATCATGCGCTTATTGCTTTTTTAAAAAGGCAAGAAGAAGCAAATCAATACACTTCAAGCAAATAAAACTCATTTCCCTACCTCCAGTTAATCAGGCTTTATTTGCTTAGTATCTGTGATGTTGCAGTAATTATACTAATTCTTCAGTCATCCATTGAGTATCTCTTGAAAAACTGGATAGATGTGAATTGAATTTGTAATTTTTTCAGGTGGTTTTTTTTTTTTTTTTTGCTTTGTACTCTTGGAGAGCATAGCATGGTGTGATCCTGGCAGTGCGAGTGATAAAAAGGAAAGGAAAAGCAATCTCAGCTGCTTGTAAAAAAGGAAGCAGACTCTTCAATTTTACACATAGAAAACAAATGTTCTTTAAAATCTTGTACAGTGGTTCATCACATCATCTCAGCTCATTAGGAGCTGACAGATTACTGACGAATTTGTGTTGTGCCTCCAAAATGTTTGCAGAACTGAGGCCTCAGCTTTTAAGAGATCACTGCATATCCTGTCTGATCTGTTGGTTTCTTGTGTGAATTTTCTCCGTTTGAAATATTGGGAGCTCTTTGAGGTCATACACACGTCCATTTTCAGTGTTGAAGAGATTGCTGGTTTCTCTGAGCCGAGCAGGAAAGGCATTGCCTCAGTCAGCGCCGTTCTCTCATGCACCTTAACTTTCTTTTCCAGCAGGATAACTAGTCTTTATTCATAACATTTTGACTCTAGTTCCCTATTTCTACAACTGTGAGAATGTGATGTACCAGGATGTTGGTAAACACTTACTAAAATTATTGCCTAACTCAAATGTGGAATTTTTAGGATGACAGGATCACAGAATATCCCGAGCTGGGAGGGACCCCCAGGGATCCCTGCAATCAGCTCCTGCCCAAAACTCGAACCCTTTGTCTGAGAGCGCTGACCAAACACTTCTGGGACTGCTGTGCTGTGCATACACGCTGCCTTCTCTTTCTGTTTGTCCTTGCACGAGTGTCTCACACTGTCAGATCTTTTAACACAGAATATCAGAGGAGTAGATAAAGTAGAAACTAAAGGCAATTAAAAATGCATTTGCTACATAAAGCAAGAACTGTGCTTAGCTGAAAAGCAGAGACATGTTTTTTACCTTACTCAGATTTATGGACAGAAAATGAAGCTTTTGTGGGGAAATGTCACTTGTCCAGAGTACAAGAATGAATAAAACCTAGCAAAACAAATAACACAGGCTGATGGCTTTAACGCTGAGTTTCCTAACATGGGACAATTGGTTCTTTCTCAGACCCTAAACTGAGCTTCTGCCTGTCCCATAATCCTGTACAGCCCACGGCTGTGGATGGCAAAGAAGAAAGCCATCATGTGCATGGAGCACAGCATGGCCCTTTGAGCCTGCAGCTCTTGTGGTCTCTCCAAATTTCTTGAAGAAATACAGCTACGCTGCCAGATTGGCTTGGGCCTGATCAGAGCTGGAATCTGGGGGAGGGAGGGGAGGGAGGAGGAAGGAAGGAAAAATGCAATTATACCTCTTGATTTGATGTTAAAGCAGTGACATTTTAAAGGCAACGGGGCTGGCAGCTGCCAGTCCATTGTTATGAGCTACTCTGAGGCAGAAGCACCACAGTGAAGGTCACTGTGCTGGAAGCAGAGTGGGAACATTTTAGCATCTCTCTTGCTTTCTTTGTTTGTTTACGTCCATTCCTCACTTCTGGCCCTCACCTGTTCTGTGAGCACAATGCAACCCCTGGGGAGGTGCTGCCCTGAGCCCCCCAGAGCCCTCTGCAGAAGCGTGTACTTTCTGCCAGCAGCAGCAGAGCTGGGCCCCATAACTATGAAAATACATCCGTATAGTAAGGAAAATCTAACAAAAATCTACAAATAAAGCACTGAACAGGACTTAATTCTGCTGGAGGATTTAGGGCAGAGATGGATGTTGCTTAAATGTGGTAGGAATACTGAGTGCTTTTGCACCAACTCAAAATAAAGGTCTCATCACATGCTTTCTGGGTGTAAGATAAGACGATCGTTTTGACTTTCTCCTTCAGAAATACCACCTGCACCATTTTAGTTTTTGAATGGGGTAACTCCAAACAGCAGGGTATGAATAAAGGCTCCTGAGCAGCCATTAGCAAGTCTTTTGGTTATTCAAATAATGGGGCTGTACATCATTTTAAAAAGTTACAGGCAGAATTGTTCTTAAATGTCAGCCATTACGCAGTGCTAGAATCACTTGTGGGATTTCCCAAGTCGCCATAAAACACGGCCCAGCAGCAGCCTCCCGTTAGCAGCCCCTGAGACGCCGTGCCTGCTGAGGGCTCTGGGTGTAACTGCTGATGGCTGCCATCGCCTGCAACCGGCCGTGCTTCCACAGCTCTCGCCAAGCAGGAGCTGGGGCTGAGAGCGGGTGTGAGAGCAGGAGGAAGGGAAGGCAGACAAAGATGGCTGTGTCTTTGGGAGGAGCCAGCTGGCTCCATCCAGCGGCCCCTCGGGCTGCCTGGCTTCCCAGAAAGGTGCTCAGGAGCCAGGAGGGGATGTCAGGGCTTCTCCAGCTCCTCTCTCTCGGGCTTAGGCATGGAGCCATTTGGATCACGTGGCCAAAAGTGAATGCTCCGTGTCTTGGCTTGTCCTACAGCAGAGTCTTCTCTGCTCAAATCTGATTTGGAAGTGGAAAGCTATGAAAAAGCCACAGGACTTTTCCATAAAAGCAAGCAATTTGAGTTTGCCTGGCTGTAAAATAATGTTATCTATCTGTTGCACAGCGTACTGCCGTGTCTGAGTGACAGTTACGGCAAAACCAGTCATCAACAAAACACGGCCTTCACTGTCAACACCTGAATTCTTCCTTCATTTCCCTGAGAACTGCTGGTGTGGGCGATGCTGCAGGGCCAGCAAAGGGAGTTTCTCACTGGGGTGTTCTGCTTTCATCAACCGTTCAGGGCACGAGCGTGGGCAGGTGATAGCTTACGCGCTGCAGAAGTCCCTTTTGCTGGCAGGATTGAATCAATAAATGGCTTCAAACGTTGTTACAATCCTGAGAGCAACATGATTTGCTCAGAACACTTGCTATTCAGCTTCGAGCACCATAGTCCCCCATTATAATTTTAGTAGAAGATGAGAACATAAAAGAGCCTTGTTATTGCTCTAAGTTAAGACTGTGGAAAACACACTCATGTTCCTAATTCCTTACTTTAATTGAATACAAAGATATCGGTGCTCAAGTGTTCAGCTGCTACATGGAAAATCAAATTTGGTGGCCAGTAAATACTGTGGGACTGAAGGCTTAATGGTATAAACCAAGGGGCACATTTGAGATGAAACTGCCTTCACTTCAGCAACACTATTACCACAATAACAACCTTAGATTTATGAAAATAGAACTGACTTAAATGTATTTGCCTTTCCTTTTCATTTTTATTGCTTATTTTTTATATCCAAGAAACAAAAGCCTCTTAACATCAGCCGGGTATTTCCGCCATCTGAGCCCACATAAAATTTCTCAATGCTGCAATTCCAGAAGAAATTTTTAAATATCAGTTTAAATAAAAACTTAAGTATAAGGTTTCCAAATACATTTTGTCATAACTTCACATATACCTGCTGTGATTATGTGATGGTTGGAGGTAACCAGAGATTCCCTGCATTCTCAGTAGCAGGAAGGCCAGAGAAAGAACCCTTCCTTGTTAAGGCCGCCGTGCTTCCAGAGCTGCCATGTCTGGCTGTGCGTGCAGGTCTGTGTGTGCTGACTGTGCGGTCTGTCTGTCCCCAGGTGTCCCTGAGCCTTCTGAGGAGGGCCTGCTGCCCCAGAGCCGCTCTGCTAGCACAGCACAGCACAGCATTGCTGCAGCACCCAGCTTCGCTCCCTGGAGACACCGCTGCACACCAGGTAGGCGATGAGCTGCTCACGGAGCTCCCTGCGGTGCTGTGTGGCTTAAGGCTGGCTCTGTGTGGAAAGAAATGATGATGGTCATTTATGTATGGAGCGTGATGAGCTTTTGGGCAGAAGGCAAAGCAGAAGTGATTGTTGGGTTATTTGATGAAGTGGTGTTTGATAATTACTGCAGTAAAGGCCCTTATGGTTGGCTGGGACTGAGTGTGCTGCCTGAGTGCTGGGCTCTGCTCCTGGCAGGGGTCAGGCTCCAGGCGAGTCTGGAAAGGAGCTGCATCATACCACAGACCTAGCAGGAGACCACTGCAGGGTTTAAATCCTGATATAATCAGTGGAAATGACAGATAGTAGTCTGAAGAAAGAAAAAAAATCTATTAGGAATATGGATTGATGCAGCCCTGGGATCCCATCCACACTGCAGGCGGGTGCTGCGGGGAGGTGGGTGGTTGGGTGCTTCCAGCGCCCAATGAGCACCATGAAGTGACTCTCAAACAGGCGCGTCCCGATAATCGGGTCCGTAGAACTCATCACATGTCCAGCTTTAAAAGTAGAAAGAAAATGTTCTGCGGGTCATTAAATCCACTGTGTGTGCCATCGCGATGATGAAATGGAGCTGTGGCTGAACAGGATGGTGCCTTCAAATGGAACTTCAGAGGATAAATAAAGCCAAAGATGGTAGCGAAGGCGCCTTAGATTTATTAAAATACAGCCTCCCCTCATTACTTAGTGCAGCAATCAGTCTGTGCTGGAGCAGTAACTCATTGCAATGACTTTGCTGCTATGACTTGTGACCATTTCTGCTTCTTAACTGGGATGTTTGCCTAAGAAACAGCTGATCCGCAGAAGCATTTTCTTTTTACGACGCTATTCTAAATCAATAGAGTTAGTTGCTGGTTGTTGGGGGGTTTTTTTTGGTTTGGTTTTTTTTTTGTTTGTTTGCTTTGTTTTGTTTTTTGTTTTTCCTTAATGCATTTTAACCAGTAATGAACATAGGGATTTAGGAGGCCTAACAGGCACGGAGCCACCAGCCCGGAGGAGCACAGGCTGCCGGCACGCAGCTCCGCGCTCCTCCGGGCGGTCCTTCCCAGGGAGCGCGGGGCCGGGCGGGGCGGGGATACGCAGGGCGGGGCGGGGAGGCGCGGGCCGGACGCGGAGCCGCCGCGCGGGGGCAGAGCTCGGCGCCGCGGGGCCGTGCGGGTGCGGAGCGAGGCTCGGCTGTGCCGCCGCGCAGCGTCACTGGGATGGGGCTCGGAGGGGAGCCCGGCGTCGCCTGCGCTTTTCTGGACGGAGCGAGCCCCTCTTCGGCGCAGGGCAGCTGAACCCGCTCGCCGCCGAGCGGATCGCCGGGACGGGATTCTTCTAATTCCCAGGAACGCCGCTTCCTCCCGTTGAGTGCGGCTGCCGGCCGCGGATGTTACAGTAGCTTCCCGCGGACGCGGGGCTGCCGGGCGGCTTTGGCTGTCGGGGAGACGCCGGGCCCCGCGGCGTGCGATGGATTGAGGCGCGCCCGCCGCGGCCCCATCGATGCGATGGAAAATCGGGGGCTGCTCTGCACGCTCTGCTCCCTGGTGCTGCACGCGCCGCTGCTGCTCGGCGTCACCGGTGAGTGGGGGCTCGGCGCTCCCGGGGCTCTGCTGGGGCGCAGCGGGGCTGTTCCGGCGCGGAGCCCCGCGGCGGGCGGCTGCGGGACGGCGCGGCCCGGTCCGGCTGCAGCGCGCTGCCCGCGGCGCTCGGAGCCCGCTCCCCGCTAACCGGCCTCGTAACTCTGTGTTCCCCTCCCAGCCACCTTCACCGAAGTTCCCAAAGATGTGACTGTTAGGGAGGGAGACGACATCGAGATGCCTTGCGCTTTCCGAGCCAGCGGATCCACCTCTTATTCCTTGGAAATCCAGTGGTGGTACCTCAAGGAACCGGCCCGAGAACTCGCACACGAACTGGCTGTCAGCATCCCTGGCGGCAGGAGCAAGGTAAGGGGGACGCGGCCGGGAGAGAGCCGGCGGGCACGGAGACGGCTGGAAACAGGGGGCAGCGCGGCCTCCGGGGAAGGGGGAAATTCACCATAGGAATATAAGGACAGCGTCTTCAGGGCTGTAACTAGAAAATGCTCGGAGTTCGGATGCGAAACCGGGAGCAAGGGCTCGAACGAGGTGGCTGGAGAATAGCTGGGGTTGGAGGCGCGGGCAGCGCGCTGAGCGGGGCATCCTCGCGGGCTGAGAGCTCCGCCGGCAGCTGAGGGAGCGGCGCGGGGCAGCGCTGTGCCGATGAGCGCTGAGCGGGGTGCGCGCGTACACCTGCTTGTGGAGCTCGGCCAGCCGTTTTCACGCAGTCGGGTGTAGAAATTAAAATGCATGAAGTAGCGTTAAATCTTGCGAGTCCCCTCCCCCTAGCGAGCATCCAGGCTCGGGGGCGGGCGCCGTTCTGAACGCTCCGCCGCGTTTCCCCGGAACGGCTGGATCGCCCCGCAGCCCCCGTTCCGGTACGATGCCCCGGGCGGTGCCGGCGGGGTGCGGCCGGGGAACGCTCCGCTCCCGGCTCGGGTACCGCTCGTTTTCCTGCAGCGCTCCGATCGAGATAGCTATAGGCGCTGAGCTACTGCGGTGCCGCCTGGATGGGGAAAGTGTAACTCAGTTGTCAGACAGGGAGATAAATCGCTTGGATTTAACCTCGTAGAAAAGCCGCGAGTCGCTTTCACCAGAAATGATGGCGGGGTGCGCGCGGAGCTGATGGTACATCGGCGAGAGCTGTGACATCGCTCGAGTTTTACAGCACTTAGCGGGGACAGCCCAACGGCGGACGGTAAAGACTGTGGTGCGAGCAGCGGGTCCGGGCTGCGGGTCGGCGCTGCCGTAGGCGGCGCGTTTCGCAGCGCGGTGCCGGGAGCTGCCCGCGGGCGCTGGGCGGTGCCGCCGAGGGTGCAGTGCGTGCCGCCGGGGCGGGCCGGGCTTCGTCTTCCCCCGTGCCATGGGCGGGGATCTACTCGTCCGAGTAACGGGGTGGGAGGGAGCGCTGCTCCCCGTGTCGCCGGGACGGGCTCTGATCTCTTGTTTCTATTCCTCAGGTGGCGAACAAGGACGCGACCAAGATCAGCGTAAGTGCAGCGGGCGCGGCGCGCACCCCGTCTCGCCCCGACCCCACTGCCGGCACCGCACGGTGCAGCCACGGTGTGGCGGCCGCTCCCTGCGGGCGGGGGGGTTCGGGGAGGGGATGTTGGGGCTCGGGGGGCCTCCCGGCGGCTGCTACTGCCGCCCAAGCGCGGGGCCGGACGCCTCTGCGAGCGGCGAGGGTGGGGGTGAGGGGGAGAGGGGGGAGAAGAGGGGCGGGGCCGGCCCCGCGGCTGAGGCTCCGCTCTTTTGCAGACGGTCCGCGTGCAGGGCAACGACATCTCGCACCGGCTGCGGCTGTCGGGCGTGCGGCGGCAGGACGAGGGCGTCTACGAGTGCCGCGTGGCGGATTACAGCGACGACGAGACGCAGGAGCACAAGGCCCAGGCGCTGCTGCGCGTCCTGTCCCGCTTCGCTCCGCCCGATGTGCAGGCGGCCGAGGCGGTGTCCCACATCCAGAGCGGGGCGGCCCCTCGCCGCCACGGCCCCGCTGGTAGAGCCACGCCGCCGCCCGGCCCCGGGCCCGGCAAGCGTCCGCCACCGCCCCCCGGAGAGCGGGGACCCTCCGCCGCCGCCGCCGCCGCCGCCGCCGCCGCCTCGGCCTCGCCGCCGCCCGGACAGGGGCAGGGCCGGGGGCGGACCGCTATCCTGCAGCAGCAGCACGGCTCAGGTAGGCGCGGGGCTGCGCGGAGGGGCGGGAGGCCGGGGCGTGGGACGGCCGCGAGCTCAGCCGCCCTGGATCCGCTGCGGTGTGAGCGCCGGAGGCGGCGGTGCGGTGACGGTGCGTGGGAGCGCGCCGTGTCGGTGCTGGTTGCGGCAGTAGGGGACCGCGGTCCTTCGCGCTGTGCCCGAAGAACTCGGTCCCTTTCTCACGCAGGAGTCGTGTGTTGCGGTGACACGTGCGAGGCAAAGCGGCCCGGCTGGCGGCTCGTGCGCACCGGGCGGTGCTGCTGCCGCTGCCGGCCGTACGTTTCTGGACTGCACTGAATGCCGAAAATAAAATGCAGGTGTTACGGCCGGCGGTGGCGGTAACGGAGAGATAAGAAGCTGTGAACGAGATAGCAGGATGTGGGAAAGCGTTTTGTGGGAATTCCCAGGTGGGGAGCGATGCTGGATGCTGGAGCCGCCTGCTGTGCGGTGCTGCCGGCATTGCTGGCACTGCTGCTGCTCCGGGAAAGCACAATGCCAGGCTCTCAGTCGGGGCAGCAAGGTAAGGTGTAGAGCAGCATCTGCTGTCCTCTGCTCGGGAAGGAGACTCCTTTTAGGTTTTTGCTGTGGTGCTCTGTGAAAGCAGTGTCTTTTTGTATTGTAGTGTGTTTTCCACAGAGAGGACCGTGGGGTGAAACCAGGTGTCGACTCAGGTGGGGCTGCAGGGCCCGGTGCTGTCCTGGCTGAGCCTGGCATGAGTGTACAGCACCTCTGAGCCTGAGCTCAGTGACAGATCAGTGCTGCACATCTGTGTGTAGTGACTGAATCGTGTAATGTGGTTACTCAGAAGCCTTCAGCATTTGTAAGTTCTTCTGTTGTACACAGGGATGTTTCCTCTGCACAAAAGCGGAAGTGGGCTCAAGCACTGGGTGTGCTGTTGGTGATGAACACACTGCTGAAGCTGACGGTGTGGCACTGGCTGCCATGTCCCCAATTAATTGAGATCTAATTCTGTTTCCATTGCAGCAGAGCCCTTCCTGGTATGTTTAGTGCAGCAAAGTAGGGCCTCTCTGTGCTGTATTTCAACATGATTATAGACAAAATGCTGTTTTCAGGTGTGCTCTTGTTGGCTTCAGCAGCATGCATGCCGTGTGGGGAAGGTGATTCTTTGCATCATCTTGTTGGACTGAAGCATGAATGATCAGAATAAATGTGTCTGTCAAATGCCTGTCAACAAGATGCCTTAAAGAGCAGAGTCCCACCTGATGGACCAGGCCATAAATGGAAAACCCGTAGTGTGGGACAAGTACTCTGATACTGTGTTTAAGAAAAAATAGTGATCAGTAATGTCACAGTGTGCAAGGGAACAGATCTGAGGCGACAGGCTGCCCACTGTGCCAGGAATACTGCCTGCTCAAATAGCCTTCTCTGTTGAAGCTACAGTATAAAACCTCAGTGCTGTGATTGCGTGCGACTGGAAAAGATCACTGCCCCTCTGCCAGTAAGGCAGGCTGACGTGGAAACACAGCACTTCCTGAGGGAGGCAGAGTCTGCTGGTAAACTTGTTGCATTTTGTGCCATAACAGAATGAGTGCTTCTAAATGAAAGGAATAATACAACTTTCAATTTAAATACTTGTACGCAGGTTTAATCTTTTGCTGTAGGGAGAAAGTCTGGCGCAGCAACTTGGAAAGTGTTCTTTGTGCATAGCAGTGTGGGCATTGCTGAGCTGTGTCCAGGAGGAGGAGCAGGTTCATCTCCTGTGTGCTGGTGCTGAGATTAAATAGCAAACAGCGATTCCACATCTCATAAATGTGAGCAAGGCACTGAATTCAGGAGTCAGTCTTTGTTATCTGATAGTGGAAGGACAAACAAGTAGTTTATTTTATACTGCCCTTCCAGGGGGCAAACTGGCTGCATTAGGTCACTCTGAAAGTAATGCCTCCTATTTATTTCCATAAAAGCTACAATAGACACAAAGAGCACAATTACACTCTTTGATAGAGCACGTTCTCAGCTACAGACCTGTGGTTCAACAGAGTCAGCGCCCTTAGCTGTGCGTTGTAGCCAGCAGTGAACTAGAGCTGTGTCAGTGGAGGTGACACACTGTTGCCACTGCTGGAACTTACCACCCACCCCTCACTGTGCTCACACCGCCGTGTGGTCTCTGTAAGCATTCCGTAGACATCAATGGATGTCAGTGGGTGCAGTTTTTTCCGCCTGGAGGACTGCAGTGTCACTCCTTTGCTTCATCCATGCTCCCATCTCGGATGCCATTCAGAGTGCCTCTCTGCTGCTATCTGTCACACAGCAACAGCGTGTAAAGCAATGCTGGTGGGAAGGTTCAGCCTTTACTGCCACACCACCGCCACCCACCTCTGATCTCGTGGGCCAGTGTAATAAAACAGGAGGCATTACTTAGGGAGCAGCGCTTGTATGTGCTGCCAAATGGTCTCCAAAATGAGTGCTGTGCACTGGCTGAAGGCAATTTTTAGTTTAACTTCTGACCAGAATGCAGATCAGATGGTACAGCTTCCAAATTCCCTTTTATTTGTTTGATCTCCAGCCACAAAGCTCTGAAGTGAAAGCTTTAAATAAAATAAACAAAGATGGGAGTGTCAAACAAGAAACTGTGCTTCATTATGCTTGGAGTGCTCTAGGAAGGACACAGAGAAACTCATGCGTTATGCAAAGATGAAATGTTCACAGCAAGGAAGAAAGTAAGTCTTTGCTTCGTTCCTCTCTCCTGCCTCTCCCTCCACAGCCTTTCATGTCTGCAGCAAAGGAGGGCTGCTCCTGCCTGGGCCTGGTGTGGGGGACTGCAGAGCAGGGTTGGGTATGCTGTTATCCCATCTGGGAGCAGCTCCTGGTGGTGCTTGGAACACCCAGCTGAGGCTGGAGGCCATGTCGGGAGTGGTGCAGTTACTTGGCTTCCACTGGGGCTGGGAAGCAGCAGGTGTGTTTTGTTGTGCTGCAGAGATGGGAACAGAAGCACAGTTCCTTGAGGATACGGAGCTGGGCCTTGCTGGAGAGCTGTAGCTGAGTTGGGGTTAGCTTTCACTGCGTTTGGGTCTGGGGCTCTCCAGGATTCGTCACCAGAATGTGAGTGGCTGTGTTTGCTGGCAGGGGAAGCAGCCAGGGCAGCTTGTGTGTTTGATGGATGCGCTTTGCACAGTGCAGCCCGAAAGGGAAATCTGTTCTGTTGTACCTCCCAGGCCTGTACTCCTGGCCTGGGTCTCCTTCGCTCCCCCTGTGCTTTTCATGAGACCGACTGTGAGCTCACACGCTGCTGCTGTTTATAGATAAATGCAACCTGGGTCGCTCACATTTCCCTCTGCGTTAAATAAAGGAGCAGAACAGAGTGCCGTAACTGAGTTACCAGGCTGACCTCCTAAATGTCACTGGATAATAAACACGCAAAAAGAATTCTCATTAAATACACATCACTAGCACTTCAATATCTGGGCAAATTAGACTCCTTGGGGACAAGTGAGGTCAAATATCTTCTTTTGTGTGCGCACTATGGAGTAATTCTTGAACTGGACAAAAGCACAGACTGCAGCAGCATCACCTCAGTGCGTAGGGCAGAACTGTGCTGGGCTGGTTCTGAAGGGTGGCAATGCAATCTATTAGAGTCTCCTCCTTTGAGTAGTTCGCCCTTGTTCTCCAGAGGGATGGGACAAACAGCTCAGGCCCGTTCTGTTACATGCCTGCATGGTGTCCTTGCAGAACTTTGAGTATTGTTTCAACTTCTCTAATGTATTCAATTTACAGATGAGAAAATACTAAAAAACAAAGTGACTAAATGTAATGAAAGGGGCATTCTAAGTTGTTCTGATGAATGTGGCTGTTGTGCCTAAAGCTGCTTGAGATGTTGCTACAAGGTGACTCATTTGTGAATGAAAAGCTGAAGTAGATATGAAGAAAGCTGAGTGCACCTGTGTGTCTTTTTGCATGAACAAACAGCACTTTGGTTGGGAATATCCATGTACCGCTGGGTTTCTTAGATAACATTGGCAAAATGGAGTCTGAGGGTGCAGTACCAGCAGCAGGCTGTGTAGTTGGTAAGACAGGCAGTAAATGTTACATCTTCACCACCAGGGATGCAGCTCTCTGGTGTGTAATGTGACACGTGAGCTGTGCTGTTGTGATGTTTCAGTGGTGTGCTCAGCAGTCACCGCACAAAGGAACGTCGGGGCAGTCTCAGAAGAACAAGTTTGGAGAAGGCCATTGCTGACACTGGTCTGTAGTTGAAAAGCCAACAAGGCAGGAGCTGCATCTTGCCGTGGTCCCATGAAGGTGATGTTCCAGGATCTGATGGGACTGCCGGCAGTGAGAGGGGTTTGATTTAGCTTGCTAAAGCAGAGAGAGTGCTGGCAGGTTTGCTACTGCTGTTTATTTTGTGTTTTTTAAAATTGGATAATGGCAGAGCAGTGCCCTTTGTCAATAATAAATAGTTCAAGTAGGTTTGTATTGGAAAAAACAGAGTTGTCAGTGGAATGGTATTATTTGTCACAACAGCGGTTAACAACCGAGTATTTTATATTGCCAGGCTGTTATCAGCTGGGAGGCAATTTTATTAGCTGGAAAGCAGCAGTTTGGCAGGGCAGCAGCTGTGCTCCATGGAGAAGTCAGCGTGAGCGCTGAGTGCGGGCTGCTGTGCCCAGCATCAGGGCACTGAGCTGCCGGGATGTGTGCTGGGATGTGCGCGATGGCACCGTGCTGCTGGGAGCTGCAGCACCACACAGCTGGGGGCGGCTGGCTGCAGCCTGGGGCTGAGCAGTCCGGAACGCCCCAACAGGCATCATCTTCTGTCTGCTGTTTCATTGCCTGTTGATCACGCCTAAGGTTCCCCTACTGTCTGTACTACTTAATACATTTTAAAGTCACATTTATAACCTGATTCCCTTTCAGGCCCAGGAGCTCGAGAGTAAGAAGGCCCAGAAGAATGTCCCCCATCCACAGCTGTTCCCTTGCTGGCTTAGGCTGTGAAGTTTTACTTCCCTGAGCCCCAGGGCATGG